AGCGAAACTACTTTGTTTGGCCTTCCAAAAGAGGACGATATCTGCTTTGTCATGCCTGGAGCTGATCCGTGCTGGTCGCTGAGGAAATACATCAACTTCGCGCTGTGGATCGCCGGATCGGCTTTCACCGTGGACAAAGCGGAGTCCAGCTTGGGGTCGTCACATGTGGTTGCCGCAAACCCGTCGGACGCTCCTTCGTCGAATCCGCCGGCCGCGCCGTTCAATCAGAGCACACCTTGCTTTTCAGACCGTTGAGCTTTGTAAAAATCAACGCGTTTCAGAAAGGCGGGGGATAGAGGAGAAACAATAATGTACAGTATGTGGAAAATAATGTTTTTTGAACCTTAACCATAAACACATTTCATTACACCAAATACACAAAATAATGTTCTTTTTAGCAACATCATATGACCCCTTTAACCTCTGATAAAGCATTCCTGTCCATATTTGTTACATTTTTGTTGAACTCTGATGTTATATGCAATAAAATGTCTTTTTTGTGTGTGTTCAGACTTGACTGTAGTAAAATTAATGCAAAAACTGACCTTTCAAACCAACATTTCAAACAAACAAAAAATCTAAACCTTTACAAACAGTTGTCATTGAGAATGTCTAAATATAAATCCAAATCCACAACTTAAAAAAAAGTATTTATGTCTAAAAACAACTAGAGAATTGATAAGCCTTTTATATAGAGCTCTATAGGAATCTAGTAGCTAAATCACGGAATTTCAGATGTTTTTCTTTTTTTTACTCCCACCAGATGGAACTAATTTGCCTTCAAAAATTGGATTTTAAAGGCATTGTCTCTATTTTAACATGAAATACTGCCATCATTGAAAAGTAATAGAAAAATATTAGAAATTTGTTTTATTATTTTCAATGGGAAGAAATTGATCATAATTATTGCATAAATATTAAATAGTACCATGAAATTATCTCAAAATACAAAATAATAAAGAAAACATATTATCGAACAAAAATATATTACATTGATTTCACTGAAAATAAAAAAAGTTAAATTTCAGGTGTCCAGTCACTTTTGACCGCGAACAACACAAGTGTGACTCCCAAATGAACAATATCAGAGGGTTAACCAAATAGAAGAATGTATTTAGGAAAATATGAAAAATATGAAAATGCTACTAACTAAGTGTGAACTACGTGTTTTATGACAATTCTACAGTAAGACAATTAAAGCAATTAAAGCTTTTATAAGAAGAGATAAATGATAGGTCATATGACAAGCTAGCAACCTTAATAAAGGTTAAAAGTTAAATAAAGTCCATATAGAATTACCTGAAATACCCTGTGGCACCATGCAGATGCTCATCAACATTCATTCTGGTGCAAAAAAGTTTCTAAATACATATAGGGCCTAATCATTTCACAGCAAAACAAAAACTGTGCAAAACAAAATGATCACAAAATGGCTTGAATTTGAATACCCTAGATCTTACATTCATTTAGCTATAGACAGATCAAACATGATCTTTTCAGCCTTAAGTTTAAGTAGACTTTGAAGGTCCTGTAGTGTACATCTTGGATCCATTTAAACCTTGCGAGAAAGTGCTCATCTGTGTGCCACGATGTCTCTTTGACCTGCGGCACATCAGGTAGAACATCTCGATCACGTTCAGAAGCAGAGAGATACACGACACCACCAGCATGAAGATGATAAAGATGGTTTTCTCTGTGGGACGAGACATGTAACACTCAACCGTATGAGGGCAAGGAGATTGGGAGCATTCTATCTTAGGGATCATTATGAAACCGTAAATATAATACTGGCCTACAATAAATGCAGCCTCAAGCAAGATCTTAGCAAACAGGCTGGCTAGGTAACTACCTAATAACTGGCCCTTGATTATAACTTTGCCATGATCGTCTGTGTATTTGGGATGTTTGAGGCCTTGCTTTTCCGCATGGCTTTCAGTCTGCTGTCTTAGTTTCTTTTCTTTGTGGAGTATATGCAGAACGTGGCCGAAGTATAGAAGTGTTGGCGTGGACACAAAGAGGATCTGAAGCACCCAGAAGCGAATGTGGGAGATTGGAAAGGTGTGATCGTAACACACGTTCGTGCAACCAGGTTGCTTAGTGTTGCAGATCATTTTTGATTGTTCGTCGCTCCACACCTTTTCAGCCCCGGCTCCGAGGACCATGATCCTGAAGACAAAGAGAACAGTGAGCCACACCTTCCCAATGACTGTGGAGTGAGACTGCACTTTGTCCAGCAGCTTGGAGAGAAAGCCCCACTCTCCCATGCTTGTGCCTTTAGTATCTTCTCTGCCTGGAAAACTAGGGGAGAAAGACAGCATTTTAAGTGGTTGAGTTTTGATCTGTTTAAAAGTCCATTTTACCTAAAAATGTATGTATTATTTATTCACCATTAC